CTTTTTATTAATAGCTTCAGTATATTTAAAAGTACTATAGTCTCTAAGTTATCATAACTTCTGAGTTAAAGGTTTACTGTACATTTTCCTTCTGCATAAAAGCAATAGATGTACTCAAAATATGGAGTCAAGGGTGAAAATAAAAATTGTAAATAGGTATATTAATTATAATGTTTTGATTAATTTACACTGAGATTCAGTTAATTGAATAGCAATAATACATATTTTTTAGATTGTACTGCATAAAATACTGCATTTTATTTAAACTTTTTTTTTTTTTTTGGAGACAGAGTCTCACTCTTTTGCCCAGACTAGAGTGCCGTGGGGTCAGCCTAGCTCATAGCAACCTCAAACTCCTGGACTCAAGCGATCCTCCTGCCTCAGCCTCCCGAGTAGCTGGGACTACAGGCATGTGCCACCATGCCTGGCTAATTTTTTCTATATATTTTTTTTCAGTTGTCCAGCTAATTTCTTTCTATTTTTAGTAGAGACAGGGTCTCACTCTTGCTCAGGCTGGTCTGGAACTCCTGAGCTCAAACAATCCACCCCGCTTCGGCCTCCCTGAGCGCCAGGATTACAGGCATGAGCCACCGCGCCTGGTCTATTTAAACTTTTAAAAAAATAAAATTTTATAACCTTTCCAATTGTAAAATAGTGTAGAAAATTTAGAAATGTATAAAGAAAAACAGAAACATCTATAATCTCTCAGATATGAAGTTAACTGATATTACTGTCTTATTGTAGTCCCTATCAGATTTTTTAATATGTAAGTGTATTTTTAACAATTAGGGTCATATTATACATAAAGTTTTATATCCTCCTTTAACATCATGAGCATTTTGTTATGCCCTACTTCTTTTTAAATGCTATATTACTATATAATTTGTTGTCTAATGGATGTATCATAAATTTTCACTATTCTGTACTGTTGAATATTTAAACTCTTTAGGTTTTTGCTTTTAAAAATAATGTCATGTTAAAAATTGATACAGAAAAAATTTATACATGTTTTTGGATTTACCTTTTTGGTATAGATATATTTGTTATTGTATATGCATAAGACTTACCTGATCATGTGGTCAGATGTACTCTTCCCAAAGAAGAATATAGAGATAAATAAGGGCAATACTGTAATTTTTAAAATAC